CCCGGCGGGCTCCCGCGTCATCCCGGCCGCTCGGCTGCGCGCTATTTCGGGCTCCGGGCACTATAAATAGAGGCTAGCGAGCCGAGCCGCCCCCCTGGATTCGGGCCCCTCAGTGTCCCCTGGGCCGCAGCGATCGCCTGGCCGCGCGTCACCGCCGCTAAGTTTAGAGGCGGGGGTTGGGGTTGGGGGGACACTGTCCAGGTCCTTGTGTCCGTCCTCCCCACCCCACCGCACCCCGGGGGGCTCGCAGCTGTCCTCTGGGGACCCCTGGGACGAGGGGCGCGCTGGGCGCAGGGTGGACTTGGGGTGGAGGCCTGCGGGAGGCAGGGAAGCCATCAGGACCCCGGGCCGGCTCCGGTGCGCCCGGAAGGAGCGTGCGGGGTCCGAGCGCGCGCCGCGGAGAGCCCGGGACCCGCGATTCTGCGCGACCGGAGCTGGCAGGTTCAAGTTTGTGCGTGGAAACCAACTTGCATGCGCGCGACAGCTTGCCCCGCGCGCTTCCATCCGGGGAGCCCGGGTCAGCGGGGAACCCGGTCGGGGGCCTCCCGAGCGCCCATCGTGGAAGTCGCGCCCCCGAGGGTGTTGGGGTGTTGGGGTGTTGGGGGGCTTCTCGCTCCGGAGCGTCGGGCGTGGCGCCACTGCCCTCTGGTGGAGGTGGCGCTAGTTGCAGGTGGACATCTGGCCGTTCCCCAACTGGGAAACTGAGTCAGGTCCCGGTTGGTCTCTTTCCGGAAAAGCACTTTTTTAAAATAAGATTTTATTTCACTTGTATTTTTATTGGAAAGCCACATTTACAGAGAGGGGAGATAGAGAGGAAGCCGACTGCCCGGGAAAGCAGTCGAGGACGGCCCAAAGCCTTGGGACCCTGCACCCGCGTGGGAGACCTGAAAGAAGTTTCTGGATGCTGGCTATAGATTGGCTCAGCTCTGGCCATTGCAGCCCCTTGGGGAGTGAAGCAGCAGATGGAAGATCTTTCTCTGTCTCTCCTTCACTTTCTGTAACTCTGCCTTTCTTAAAAACAAACAAACAACTTAAAACAATTAAAACCAAAGTTTATTTCAGTCTGTTTATTCAAAATCCATTGTAGCTTTTTCATAATACACATTATCCCAAAATTTTAAATACCTCCACAGGTGCTCAAAAATGCAGATAACCAAGAAATGAAATCAGGGCATTTGGCATGGCGAAGTGACGATGGTGCTAGCGGTACCCACTTCCCTAGCAGAGTGACTGGGCTCAAGGCCCGGCCACTTTTGCCCATCTGCTGGTGTCCCTGGGAGGCAGCAGGGGCCGACCCAAGTGCCTGGCTGCTGTAACCCACCGGCTGGACCTGGATGGAGCTCCTGGCTCCTGGATTCAGCCTGGCCACCAGGTCTGGCTGCTGTGGTCACCTGGGGAGTGAAGCAGCAGACGGAAGATCTTTCTGTAAATCAGACCTGCCTTTCCAACAAAAATAAATCTTAAAAAAAAAAAAGTCAGCAATTGCAGATGGAGACATCATGGCTCCCTGTGTGGACACAACCGGACAGGGGACATCCTGGGAAGGAACTCAGTGCTGTTGCTTCCTTCCACGCAACTCTGAATGCCGAACCCATGGGCGCCCTGCAGGTGGCGCTGTGGGGCAGCTGCCGCCACAACAGCCTAGCCTGTCTGCCCAGGGCATGGTCAAGGGTACTTATTTCTTTTAAAATTTTATCTTTGATAATGTTTACGCAGTTGATTAGGTAGGGTGGAATGGTCCAGGACGAGGGGAAAGCAGATGAGTCCACTATTTCCACACCTTCCTGTATCTGTGGGGAGACAAGGGGAGAAGCCATACCCAGCCTTCCATCTGCCTTAGTACCCATGGGTACGGAACGGCCACCCGATGTCATCCCAGGGTCCTCAATGGGGAGTATGTTCTGAGGGTTCTGTTCCAGTGGTGTTTCAATAGTTCTGACATATCCAGCTTGTACATCCAAGGATGAGGAAATCCCCCCAAGGTCCATGGGCTGACGCAGCCCACCCCGAGTCTCCGTTCACCCAGAAAATTACTCTCAGGCTTCTCTGTGGAAGCTGACCAGTTGATTCTGCCCTTCTTCCTCTGCTCTGGTACCAGATGTCGTCCGCAGGCTCCGAGCGACTGCCTCATGCTCCACGGGCATCTGGGCATGCTCTGCTCTGCAGCATCTTCAGTAACTGAGGGGGCCCCGTTCACACACAGGCTCTCCACTGTGTGGGCACAGGTCCTTTTTTTTTAATTCTTTTTTTTATTTTTAAGATTTATTTATTTATTGGAAAGGGAGATATACAGAGAGGAGGAGAGACAGAGAGGAAGATCTTCTGTCCGATGATTCACTCCCCAAGTGAGTGCAACGGCCGATGCTATGCCGATCCAAAGCCAGGATCCAGGAACTTCTTCCAGGTATCCCACATGGGTGCAGGGTCCCAAAGTTTTGGGCCGTCCTCGACTGCTTTCCCAGGCCACAGGCAGGGAGCAGGATGGGAAGTGGAGCAGCCAGGATTAGAACCGGCGCCCAAATGGGATCCTGGCGTGTTCAAGGTGAGGACTTTAACCACTAGGCCATGCTGCCAGGCCCCCATGGTTGGAATTCTGAATGCAGCAGTTTATTTGAGGGGACCCTCAAAGAAATCTCATCTGAGGTGATCCCTGACCTGTGTGTGCCCGCCAGTCCAGGGTCCAACTCCTGTCACCCACAGCAGCCTACACACACACTGATAGGTATAATTGCTGGGTCAGATCTAGCTCCTGCCCATTCCTTTTTTTGTAAGATTTTATTTATTTTTATTGAAAAGTCAGGTGTACAGAGAGGAGAATCTTCCATCTGCTGATTCACTCCCTAAATGGCCGCAATGGCCAGAGCTGCGCTGATCTGAAGCCAGGAGCCTCCTCTGGTTCCCACGCGGGTGCAGGGTCCCAAGGCTTTGGACCGTCCTTGACTGCTTTCCTAGTCCACAAGCAGGGAGCTGGATGGGAAGTAGGCTGCTGGGATTAGAACCAGAGCCCACATGGGATCCCGGTGGTGACCTTAGCTGCAAGAACCTTCGCTGCTAGACTACCACGTTGGGGCCCCAGCCTCATTTCTTATAGAAACCAGTGGGTGCTACATCCCAGCCCAAAGCCGCCCACCACACACTGGGCCTTCACGCACACCAGCAGGAGTGATCCCCGCCTAGCCTCACTGGGCCAGCCCCCATCCCCGATTCCTGTGCCTGCCAGCAGGTGCAATGGACTGGTCCTGTCAGCTCTCATATACGCCACTGGGAGTCGATGCCTAACTCAACTGAACCGACTCCCCTCTCCAGCCCTCACTCATGCCGGCAGGTGCCATGGCCTGTCTGCCCAGACTCAGCCCCTGTCCCGATTCTCCTGTTTACCAGTGGAAGTGAATGGCAGTTATTTTTTGGCCAAAATTCTCATATTCTCCTTACCGTGATCCCTGGTAACACTTCACCCTCGCCATGGCTGTCGCTGCTATACCCGTGGGTTAGCCTGCTGCTTGCAACGCTCACATGCCACGCAGACATGCAGGCTCCAGTTCCAGCTGCTCCACTTCCCATCTAGCTCCCTGGCAGTACATCTGCAAGGTGGCTCAAGTGTCGGGGCCCTTGCCACACGGGTGAGAGACCTGGGCACAGATTCGCGCTCCCTCGTGCAGCCCTGGCTGTTGCAGGCATTTGGGAAGTGAACCAGTGGATGGAAGATGGGGGTGTGTGTGACACTGTCTTTAAGTAGAGACGTGTACTGAAGTGATACAGAATTATTATGCACCGCAGGTCACGTCCTAACCCTGGTATGCCAGTAGGTGAGTTCATGTAGACCCAGGACCTTCCCCGGGGCAGCTTTAAGGTACCGTGAGTCACGAGAGTGGGCCCCATGCTATGTGACCAGTGGGGTCAGAGTGGGGGTGATATGGACTCCCCGGAGTGACACAGGCCAGCCACAAGGAGGAACCAACACAGCCACAGACACCCCGCGGGCAGTCCCATGTGTTCATGGGAATACGGAAGGTGATAAAAACAGAAATGCAAGGGGCCAGCAGTGACACAGCAAGCTAATCCTCCACCTGCAGCACTGGCATCCCATAAGGGCGCCGGTTCTAGTCCTGTCTGCTCCCCTTCCCATCCAGCTCCCTGCCTGTGGCCTGGGAAAGCAGTCTAGGATGGCCCAAAGCCTGGGGACCCTGCACCCCCCTGGGAGACCTGGAAGAGCTTTTGGCTCCAGATCAGCTCAGTTCCAGCCATCACGGCCATTTGGGGAGTGAAGAAGAAGACGCAAGATCTTGTTCTCTGTCCTTCTCTCCCAGTAAGTCTGACTTTTCAAGCAAAATAAGTAAATCTTAATAAATAAAGTTTAAACCGGGGAGGAAGTACCGGTTGCGTGTTCCACTGAGTCAGAACTGGAATCCACAAGGTAAAAGGAACAGAGGATATGAGCAAGCCATTCGAAGGACACAATACAGGAGAGTTGTAATCCCACAGCGAGCCGCAGGCCCCTTAGTAATCAGAGTTAGCGCGGAGTGATGCCAGCCGCCCAGGAAGTGACTAAGGGAACTCCAAGTCATCAGCCAGCTCCCGTGGACTAGGTGTCCCTTCCTCCAGGAAGCCTTCCGGCCTCCTTGGGCCGACCCGGGGCTCCCCCAAGCCTACTCCAAGCCCCTGGGGTCTCACCCGAGACGCGCGCCCCTACCTAGGGACACAAGGGTCTCCCCCCAATCCGGACACCACACAAAGCACCTCTCTGTTTAGGGAAACTGAGGCCCAAGTGGATTCCAACCCATACAGGCGCTTAATAGGGGCAGAGGGACGAGCCGCTTGGGGAGACAGGTGCCCAGGTGAGCAAACCCACAACTCCCAATGCCCCAGGAGCAGCGCGGTCCTCCAAGGTCATAGAGTCGCGCGGGGACCGCCCCCCTTTACCCCCAAGTGCTGTGGGGGCGGACTCAAGGGCCAGAGAGGCCGGAAGTGCGGCGAGCCTGGGGGCGCGCTAGGCACCGGAGCGCTGGGACATCTCGATCATCCCCGGGCCCGGTTTCTCGCGGCTGCGCAGTGAGGAGGTGAGAAGCCGCGGAGCGTCGGGCCCGAAGACCCGGCCCAACAGAGCGGGAAGGAGAAAAAAAACAAAGATCACGGCTGGAGATTGGCAGCTGTGGGATCCAATCACGGTGGTGTTAGAGAGAGCGAGGGATCCAGGTAGGAGCCCGAGCTGGGGGCGGGACCAAGAGCACGCGGTGGGCGGGGCCAAGCGTGCGGCGCTCGTAGGGGCGGGGCGACGCAGAGAGGACCGGTCCAGGGGGCGGGGCTTGTCCGAACTCGGGGTGCGGAGAGCTAGGGAACCCCGAGATGGTCGCGGGGCAGGGGCAGGGTCGGGGTCGCAGCTGTGAGTGCGGGGCCGAGTAACCCAGATGCCGAGGCCTCAGTCACTTCCGCCGCTGCGTGTTTCTCTGCAGGCTCCTGATGGAACCCGGAAAAGCTGAGGAGGGGGTGCCGCCTGCCGCGGGGGCCCCCGTAAGGAAGAGATTCGTCATCCCCCTGGACGACGAGGCGGTCCCTCCCGCTGGGGTACGACTGGGGCGGGCACTGGGAGGCCAGGGGGCTGTGAGTGTTGGAAGGAAGCGGGGTGACCTGCCAGGGTGTGGGTTAGGAACTGCTGGGCGGCTTGGGGAAAGCAGGCCTTAGTTTGCACATCTGTGAAATGGCAGGGTGGCTTCCGAGATGACCGGAGCTGGGGGCACCGCACTTGGGGTACCCAGCCCTGCCCCCCAAGACGGCCCTGATGGCTTCCTTCCTCCTTGCAGGCCAAGCCCTTGTTCAAATCCACACGCAGCCTCGCCACCTCGGGGACCCCAGAGACCCCGGCCCGGCCAGCTCCCCAGACCTATGCGGAGTATGCCATCTCCCGGCCTCCGGCAGAGGCTGCAGCGCCGTGCCCCCCGGCCGTGGAGCCCCTGGCCGACGAGGCCCCCAACCAGGCCCTGAAACCCGGGACGAAGTCCAATAGCATCATTGTGAGCCCCCGGCAGGTGAGGTGACCCTGGGGGGCTGCAGAGGAGGGGGAGCAGCTAGAGGGGTCACTGTGGGCACTGGGCGGTGGCAGAGCTGAGGTCCATCCTGTGGCCATTCATTCGTTCCTTCAGTCAGTCAGCCAACAACTCCCAGGGGGTTAGGGTGCTCGCACCTGTTTTGCTGGGGCTGTGACTGTGTTTGTAGGCTGTTTCCAGTCCTCTGACTTGTCCAGCTGTTCACATGTAGCGGAATGCGGGGGGAGCAGGCAGGGGACTGTGGCACAGCAAGTGAAGCCACCACCTGCAGTGCTGGCATCCCATTTCTGCTGCTGCTTCCTGCTGACAGGCTGGGGAAAGCCACGGAGGATGGCTCAAGTGCTTGGGGCAGTGCCCCGGCATGGTAGATTAGAACATGCTTCTGGCTCCTGGGTCTGCTCTGGCTCAGCTTCTGCCGTCAGGACCATTTGGGAAATAAACCAGTGACTGCACGATGGCTGCAGTGGCTGGAGCTGAGCTGATGCAAAGCCAGGAGCCAGGAGCTTCTTCCAAGTCTCCTGTGCGAGTGCAGGGTCCCAAGCGCTTGGCCCATCCTCTGCTGCTTTGCCAGATCATAAAGAGGGAGCTGGATTGAAGGGGAACTGTTGGGACTTGAACCCAAGCACATAAGGGATGCTAGCACAACAGGTGAAGGGCTAGCTTGCTCTACCACTGCCCCACATCTATGTACCTTTCAAATAAATGAATAAACCTTAAAAAAAGTAAAAATAAACAACCCCTAAACACGATGAGGCCCTTCTCAGCTGCCAGGCATCTGAAAATGGGGTGAGAGGGAGCCTTCACACCTGCTGGTGGGAATGTAGATTTGGGGCCACCCGTTGGGGACAGATGGCCTGGGCCATCCTTTGAGTGAATGAATCAAGAGTTCCCAAATGAGAGCCTGGCGCGATGGCCTAGCGGCTAAAGTCCTCGCCTTGAATGTGCCAGCATCCCATATGGGCGCCGGTTCTAATCCCAGCAGCTCCACTTCCCATCCAGCTCCCTGCCTGTGGGACCCTGCACCCGTGTGGAAGCTCCTGGCTCCTGGCTTCGGATGGGCTCAGCACCAGCCATTGTGCTCACTTGGGGAATGAGTCATTGAACGGAGGATCTTCCTCTCTGTCTCTCCTCTCTGTACCTGTGATTTTGCAATAAGAATAAATAAATTAAAAAAAAAAGTTCCCAGGTGACCCGCCCATCCCCACTGCAGGCCAAGCAGGTACGTCTGGCGGGCTTTTCCCGTGTTGGCACCCCCGGCCCTTTCCTCTTTGTACCCGCAGGCGCAGCCCTGGGTGGACATGATACCCTTGCTGTGTCTGTCAGTTCACAGCCATTGGCTCGTTGGCACTGTCTGTGATCAGAAATGGGGCCGTCTGGCACATGGGCACGCAGGCTGTGGCGTGGCCGCCTGTTGGCCATCTTCTGGGGTGTGGATATAAGCCCACCCCTGCCAGGCACTGTGGGAAAACCACCCCCAAGGCTGATTGACCTACATGCCAGTCACTTTTTTGTTGTTCGTTATTATTCTTTTTTGTTTTTGTTTTTTTTTATTCTTTTATGTTGTTGTTTTTAAATTTATGTTTGGGTTTTTTTGGTGATACATGCCAGTCACTTTACATTCCATTGTCACTTGCTGAGGCTGGCGGGGGCCCCACTACCCATCACTGCCTTTCTAAAGATTTTTAAAATATTTATTTGAAATGGAGATTCACATAGAGAATGAGATGGAAGCACCTGCTCATTCACTCTTCACATGGCTGGTGGGGACCCCAGTCCCGGGCTGTCACCTGCCAGCAGCACCTGCTTGTGGGGACCCCAGCCCTGGGCTGTTACTGGCTGCTTTTCCAGCGGCACTAGCAGGAAGCAGAGCCATTGGACTTGAACCGGCACTTCGACGTGGGATGCCGGCATCCGAGGCTGTAGCTTAATCTGCTGTACCAGTGGTGGCCCCGTCACTGTTTGCTGTGGCTGCCATAGCTAGAGCTGGATCCAACCCACGCCAGCAGCCCGGTGCAGGTCTTCCACTTGAACGCTGCCTCCTGGGCCTGCAACAACAGGAAGTTGCACTAAAAGTGGAGTGCCAGGATTCAGAACAACACTCCAGTCTGGGACGTGGGCAGTGCCATAAGTTGCTTAACCCACTGTACTGCATCATCCATTCCCAAATGGATTGTGTAACTTCCAGACCCAAGCTCCCCCACCTTCTTTTTGCTTGTATCCACTCCAGTGGCTGGCTATAAGGTGAACAAAGTAAAGCTTTCACAATTGAAGTTGGGGAGTGGCCAGTACTGGGGTGCAGTAAGCAAAGCTGCTGCCTACAGTGCCAGCAATCCACATGGGTGCCGGTGTGTGTCCCGGCTGCTCCACTCCTGACCCAGCTCCCTGCTGACATACCAACAGAGGATGGCCCAAGGGCTTGGGCCCCTGCCACCTGGGTGGGAGGCCCAGATGGAGTTCTGGGCTCCAGGTTTTGGCCTGGCCCAGCCCCCGCTGTTGCAGCCATTTGAGATAGTAAACTAGTCAGTGGGTGAAAAAACATGTGTGTCTTTGTCACTCTGCCTCTTTTTTTTCATTTGAAAAGCAGAGTTAGAAGGAAGCAGAGAAAGATCTTCCATCAGCTGATTCACTGCGCAATGGGCCACAATGGCCCCAGGCTTGGCCAGGCTGAAGCCAGTGGGTGCTGCTGGGGCCCAAGCCCTTGGGCCATCCTCCGCTGCTTCCCCAAGTGCTTTGGCAGGGAGCTGGATGGGAAGCAGAGCAGCGGGGGGACTTGGTGCCCACATGGGATGCCAGTGCTGCTGGTCGCAGCTTGGTCTGCCTCGCCTCACACCACAGCGCCAGCCCTGCTCTTGTCCTCTGCACCTGAACGGACGGGACTGGCGATACCTTTGGCCCTTGGTGAGCCACCTGCCCTCAGGCGCTGCCCCTCCCTGGTGGTCAGGAGCTGGAACTGTGATGACTCGCCCGTGTGGCCTGGGCAGGTCACCGGATGCTCCTACCGCAGGGACATTCCTGAGGACTTAGGGGGCTTGGGTGATGTTATCATGTAGGAAATGACCAAGGTCTCAGGTCATCCTGTGTCTCAGGACCCGGGGTCAAGGGTCACACTGCACACATACACACACACTGTCCTGGTGTCCCTGCCTCAGAGTCAGGAACTGTGTGGCAGTGCCCCCAGGAGCGTGGACATGGCTGTCCTGGTCCCTGTTGCTTTGTCTGACAGCTGCTCAGGAGATCTGAGTGGCAGAGCTTGCCTTGCAGGGCCTGCAGCGTGTCCTGGGGAGGGAGTGAGGAGGTGGGGTGGGGTCAGGACAGAGCAGGTGCAGGGATGGGAACCCATTTGTGAAGGCAGTGAGGAAGGAGTGTCTCGCACCCCCACACCGGGGCTTTGAAGGGTACGGCCCAAAGTAGGAGCCAGGGTGGACAGCCAGGGGGATGCATCCAGTGAGTGCCAGGGCATGCGGAGTGGGGTTGCGGGGGAGGGCTATGCTGGAGGCAGCCCTCCCCTGAGGGACCCTGGGGAGGGACAGGACCTGAGGGAGAGCAGGGGTGGAAAGAGGGGGCGCGGTCCAGGCCCTGGCCCTAGGGGTCATCTGGGGTAACACCTGTCCTTCTCTCCGCAGAGAGGTAACCCCGTGCTGAAGTTTGTGCGCAACGTGCCCTGGGAGTTCGGTGAAGTCCTCCCAGACTATGTGCTGGGCCAGAGCACCTGCGCCCTCTTCCTCAGGTGAGCTAGGAGCCGGCCTCTCCTGGAAGGCCTGGGCTCTGGGCCCCAGGGGATGAAGGGAGGATCTTGGCCTGCAGGTGCCCAGAGGAATAAGAGCTGGGGGCCTGGACCCCTGGGTGTGAGGGAGGAGGGGCTGGACCCCTGGGTATGAGGGAGGAGGGGCTGTGCTGGACCCCTGGTGTGAGGGAGGAGGGGCTGGGCTGGACCCCTGGGTGTGAGGGAGGAGGGGCTGGACCCCTGGTGTGAGGGAGGAGGGGCTGGACCCCTGGGTGTGAGGGAGGAGGGGCTGGACCCCTGGGTGTGAGGGAGGAGGAGCTGGGCTGGACCCCTGGGTGTGAGGGAGGAGGGTCTGGGCTGGACCCCTGGGTGTGAGGGAGGAGGGTCTGGGCTGGACCCCTGGGTGTGAGGGAGGAGGGGCTGGGCTGGACCCCTGGTGTGAGGGAGGAGGGGCTGGGCTGGACCCCTGGGTGTGAGGGAGGAGGGGCTGGACCCCTGGTGTGAGGGAGGAGGGGCTGGACCCCTGGGTGTGAGGGAGGAGGGTCTGGGCTGGACCCCTGGGTGTGAGGGAGGAGGGGCTGGGCTGGACCCCTGGGTGTGAGGGAGGAGGGTCTGGGCTGGACCCCTGGGTGTGAGGGAGGAGGGGCTGGGCTGGACCCCTGGGTGTGAGGGAGGAGGGCTGGGCTGGACCCCTGGGTGTGAGGGAGGAGGGGCTGGACCCCTGGGTGTGAGGGAGGAGGAGCTGGGATACCTGTATTCCTTGATCTGCCTCCCAACTGGAGTTGACAAGATCGGAGATTCCACCCCGCACCCCAATTTAGTCCTCGCTTTTTCCCTGGGGCCCACAGACCTGGGAAGGTGTGAGCAGACGTCTGACAGTCCTCAGGCCCATGCCCCATTCTCGTGCCAGTCCCTTCCCCTCCTCGGTGAGCAGCGGGGTCCCGGCTTGCAGACCCCTCCCGCCCGTGTCTGCACCCTCAAACCCTCAGGGGGCGTGCAGGCCCTGAGGCCCCTCTCCGCCCCCAGCCTCCGCTACCACAACCTGCACCCTCACTACATCCACGAGCGCCTGCAGAGCCTGGGCAAGAGCTTCGCCCTGCGCGTCCTGCTGCTGCAGGTGGACGTGGTAAGCGGGGCTCCTGCCATGTTGCCCCCACTGGGATGTGGGACCACTGGGCTTCACCCAGCTCTTGTAGAAACAAATTGAAATTCTAGGCTTGACACAAGACCACGCTTTGGGCCGGGAGCGAGATGCGGCCCCCTTTCCCAGCAGCTCATCACTTGATCGCTTCTTCCCTGCTCTGTCCTGGTCCCATGGCTCCCAGGCCTGTCCCCCTGCAGCTCCTCATTGCAGCCCACACACCTGACCCAGCCCCAGTGCCTGGGGGTGGGGGGCGTGCAGAGGGCCCAGGCAGGGCCTTTCCTACTAAGCTCCTCTCCTCCAGAAAGACCCGCAGCAGGCGCTCAAGGAGCTGGCCAAGGTGTGCATCCTGGCCGACTGCACCCTCATCCTGGCCTGGAGGTGAGCTTGGGGCTCCCCAACCCTCCCCTCTGCCTGGGATGTGTGTACGTGGCAGTGGCTGCTGCAGGGGCCTGGGAGCCTTCCCGTGCTCAGCACTGACCCGAGGGTCCCTGTGGTCCAGCCCCGAGGAGGCCGCGCGCTACCTGGAGACCTACAAGGCCTACGAGCTGAAACCTGCCGACCTCCTGATGGAAAAGCTGGAGCACAACTTCCTGTCCCGGGTGAGGCCCCCCACCCACCAGCAGCCAGAGGGGAGGCCCAGCCTTGTTGCCCACCTGGCACATCTCAGCTCTGATGCTGCCTCCTCCAGGGAGCCCAGGCCATGTCAGGTGTCTGCTAGGCCATTTGGATGATCACTGACCCAGCAGGGATGTTTCCCAGGAGGCTGTGCCTGCTTGCCCCCTCTTGCAACAGGGCACCAGGAAGCCTTGGCTGAGGAGTGAACAAAGCTGAGGTGGACTGTGCAGCGAGGACCCCACCCAGCAGGGGGTGCTGCTGGCACTGGGCGGTGACCTGGCTGTGCCCTCGGGGGTCCAGCCCGGCCGGCTTTCCTTCTCCTAACACCCCCGGCCTGCGACCCTTCTAGGTGACTGAGTGCCTCACCACTGTGAAGTCTGTCAACAAAACTGACAGCCATACACTGCTGGCCACATTCGGAGTAAGCGCTGGCTGCCCTGTCCCCCTTCTAGAAGCTTCCCACCTACTCCCTTCCCGCCTCCCTGCCCAGTTGGGACTGGGTAACTGGCGCTTCCCCCCGCCCTCCACCTGTCGTTGTCACAGTCTCTGGAACAGCTCACAGCCGCCTCGCGGGATGATCTGGCCTTGTGCCCCGGTCTGGGCCCCCAGAAGGTAAGCCCTGGGAGAGAACATGGGGTGCACAGGCACCCCAAATCAGCAAGGACTCATGTGTCAATTAGACTTATTCATTCCACTGACGCCCTGAGCAGCCAGCACTGGGCCAGGCTGAAGCCAGGAACTCCACTAGGGTCCTCCCTGGCACTTACACTGTCAGGGTCTTACCAGGAAGCTAGAATGGAGAGCAAGGCCAGGACCTGGACCTAGCCCCCTTTGCCAACAGAGGCTGACATCCCAGGCAGCGCCTACCCCAGATCCCAGTGTCTGGAGGTGCAAATGGGTGAGGTGGGGGGCCAGCCCAGGGACCTCACACAGCTGGCCTAAGACCAAATCCAGGGGCCCCCGCCCCCCAGAAGGTGGCAGGAAAGAAATGAACCCACTTCCAGAGGCTGCAAGAGGCAGCTTTAATGACTGGGCACTACCCCCTCCCGCCCTGCAGGCCCGGCGCCTCTTCGACGTCTTCCACGAGCCCTTTCTGCGCGTGCCCCGGTGAGCACACAGCCTGCGAGGACTGTCCCCCTACCAGCCCCCGGGGAGACGCTGGCCGGAGCTCCCCATTGTTTACAATAAAGCTGCACCAGGTCTGGGTGCCAGTCTGGGTACAGTCTCCACTGTTTCCATGCCTCAGTTTCCCCAGGAGTAACTACACAGGCTCCAGCTTCCTCTTCCTCTTCGGTGCATGTGTGGGTGGCATCACCGGCTCTGACGTTTCCTCTGGGTGCTCCGGCCCCAGGGCCCCGCTCTCCTCACCCTGCTTCTTTTTCTTCTTCTTCTTCTTGGACGCGCTGCCCTCCAGCCCAGGCTCTGTTCCCAGCTCGGTTGCCTCCTGCTGGCTCTGCTCTGCCTTCTCGGGGGTCACCGGAGCTGACGGTGGCTCCGCAGGACCTGGGGTCCCCAGGTCTGCTGCCCCTGGCCCTAGCCACTTCTTTTTCTTCTTTTTCTTGGTGGACATCAGAGCTGCGTCCATGCAAGGCCCAGCTGCCCCTGGTGAGGCGGGCTCCATCATGTCCCCGCCGAGCTCTGGGAACCCCGTTTCTGACTGCACGGCCCCGGGGTCTGGTTCCAGTGTCACATTCTGTCTCTTCTCCTTTTTCTTCCTCTTCTTGGGGGTCAGTGGGATGGGTTCTTCCTGCTGCTCCTTCACCTGCGGCAAAGCATCATTTCCGGCCCCCTCTGGCAGCTGCACCTGTTGGGTCTCTCTCTTTCTCTTCTTACTGGGGGAACACAGGTCCGGCTCTTCTGGAGGCGGGGCCAGAAGTGCAGGATCCAATCCCGACCCCCTGTCTTCTGCTTCTGGACTCCCCACTTCAGGCCCAGCCCCCTCTCCCCCTGGAAGCTTCTTCTTCCTCCGCTTGGTGCTAGTGGGGAGTGTCTCCAACTGCGCCTCCACCACGTGCTCCATGGCCTTGGGCTCGCTGCTGGTCATTCCCGGACACCCCAAAGCTGTGGCCATGTGCCCATTAACAGCCTCGGGCATCCGCTTCTTGCGTTTCTTCTTCTGGACCAGGGCAGGCCCTGGGATGGGTGGGTTGCCTCCAAAGGCACAGAACCGCGGCCTCAGGCCCGGAGGGATGCGTGGTGGGGGGCAAGCTGGGATCGGCTGCAGTGGGGTCCCTGACGGGGATTCTTGGGGTGCCTCAAATATCCTGAGGCAGCCCAGGGGCGCCGGGGCGCAGGTGAGTCCGCTGTCGGCCTCAGCTGACCGGGCCAGCAGGGTTGCCTCGCCGGCACCGGGTCCGGAGCTGCTGCGGACCTGGTAGCGGTGTCGCTTGCCCGCCAGCTTGCCTTTGACCGTCCCGGAGCCCGAGAGAGGCACCAGGCGCCCATTGAGGCTGTGGGGAGAAAAGAGGGCGAGGGCTCGGTCAGATCCGTTAGCTGGGCCAGCACCCTGCACCCTAGGACCCTAACACGAAGCGGGATGGGACCAGCACCCCGCACCCCGACACTCATCAGGGTGGGACAAGGCCAGCACCCTGCACCCCGACACTCATCAGGGTGGGACAAGGCCAGCACCCTGCACCCCAACACTCATCAGGGTGGGACAAGGCCAGCACCCTGCACCCCAACACTCATCAGGGTGGGACAAGGCCAGCACCCTGCACCCCAACACTCATCAGGGTGGGACAAGGCCAGCACCCCGCACCCCGACACTCATCAGGGTGGGACAAGGCCAGCACCCTGCACCCCGACGCTCATCAGGGTGGGACAAGGCCAGCACCCTGCACCCCAACACTCATCAGGGTGGGACAAGGCCAGCACCCCGCACCCCGACACTCATCAGGGTGGGACAAGGCCAGCACTCTGCACCCCGACACTCATCAGGTGGGACAAGGCCAGCACCCCGCACCCCGACACTCATCAGGTGGGACAAGGCCAGCACCCCGCACCCCGACACTCATCAGGTGGGACAAGGCCAGCACCCCGCACCCCGACACTCACCAGAGCGGGGCGAAGTCGGCCGGGGCCTGGATAAGCCACACCTCCACGTCCGGGCCCGCCAGCGTCTCCAAGGAGAACCGGGGGGTCTCGGGGTCCGGGGACATCGCTGTGAAGTTGGGGGGACAAGAGAACCGAGCGGCCCCTGCGAGACAAGGACGGCTGTTGATGCTTTCTCGCCGGCCGGCCCCGCACGCGCTGTGGGTGCACCCCACTTCCACCCTCACTTCCGGCCCTTGGCGGGGGGCCGGCGGCATGGAGCAGGCCGGTGCCGCCCGCCTCGCCCGCCGCTTGCCCGGCCCAGCGCCCCGGGCCGCCCGAGCAGCCCCCCGCGCCCCGCACGCTCACCGCCCGGCTGCGACCCCGCCATCCGGGACTCCTCTCCGCGCGCGCCCGCAGCCAGCCCCGACCACGTGGGTGCCGGGGGCGGGGCCTCACCCGGGAGCGCCCACATGGCGCCCGAACGCGGGGGACGCCGCCGAGCGCCCGACCGCTCTGGGGGCAGCCCCGGGGGCGATCTCCACGATGAACGGCAGCAGCACGAGAGGAGTGCGATCTTATTATCTAAAAATCGCTGAAAAAACAGCGTAGTCGCTAATTCTCAGGAAGCGGAGCCTCGCCATGCTTCGGCGGACCTCCCACAGGGTTTCCGTATGGTTCATTCCAGCCCCGCCCTCAAGAGGCGGTCTCCGTGAGAGGATTTTTTTTTTTTTTTTTGGCTCTTAAAGGGACAGGACGATGGTTTGGGCTGACGTTCGGAAGAAGCAGGTAGGGATCGCGGCCCGCAGGGACGCGCTTTCCCGGTTCCCTTCAAAGCGCTGATCGGCGGCCGAGGAGGCGCCGGTGACGCTGCAGGCCGAGCGGTGACGCGTGGGGGCGGGGCCTCGGGGAGCGGGAAACGCGGGGGAGGAGCCTGTGGTCGGGGGCGTGGCCGCAGGGCGTGGCCTGCCAGGGGCGGGGCTTGCACCCACCGTGACATGCGTGGATGCGCGCGAGGACCTGGTGTGGCGCGTGGTCCACGTTGGCAGGGCTGTTGAGGGAAGGGAGGGGGGCGTCCCGACCGGCGGCCTCTCCCCGGCCCGACGTGGACGAGGACCCGGGGGACGCCCCCACGCCCCGCCGGGACTGGAGCGCGTGGGGCGGCGGGTGGAGCCGCGGGACGGCGGCGAGACGGGGTGACCCGACTGCATTCCTGGCCGGTGTGTCAGCGCCGCTTTCCTCCTCTGCCAAGACTTCAGATCCTGCTCCAGGACGGAGGCGGCCGCTCTGCTCCCCGGGAGGGAGACGACTCTCCGGGGCGGACGGAAGGGCCCGAGGGCTCCACACGGCTCCCCGCCGCGCGTGGGGGCACACGCATTCCAGGGAGCCGCCCCTCAGGGCTCTGGGACTACAATTCCCAGAAGGCCCGAGGCGGCGAGAAGCTGGATGTAGGCCGTGGAGGCTGCTGGGGATTGTAGTCCAGCCCCTCGACTGGGCGCTTGCTGGGTGGGCTGATAAAGTTCTTAAATTGCAGCCCTCCCCCACATCCCCCCCGCCCCGCCTTTTTAAAAATTTTATTTTTATTTACCGAGCAGGAGATTGAGGCTCCGAGTCCCGGGGCAATTAAACGAGGCTTTTCTCCACCTAGGGACTGGGCACTCAGGTTCTCCCGCAGTCTTGAACTTCCTAACCCTTTGGCGATGTCCCAGTCCTCTCTAAAGGCCAACAGCCTGGACGAGGTGGGAAGGGGGCTCGGGGCGCACCCGCTGGCAGCCACAGGGAGGGAGGCATCCAGGCGTTGCCGCCGGGTCTCGCTGGCCAGATCGCTCCGGGCTCCCCGGCCTCGCCCTTCCTGTCTGTGAAATGGACACCGAGCCACTGGGGGACTACAAGTCCCAAGGTGCTCGCGGCGACTTCGGCTCCCCCTCCCCGCCCCTGCGGGACCCGCCTCCCTGCAGCCCGAGTCACGTCGTCTAACCTGTTCCCGGCGCCTGCCCCGCCCCGTCCTCGGCTCCCCGCAGCCGGAGCCGGAGCCGGAGGGATCCCCCGGTGCCAGGATCTGCCCCGGACCCGTGAGTCCCACCCTCCTGGGGTCCAGCGGCCCCGAGAGGAACCCGACACCCCGCGTGCCTGGGAGAGGGTGGGGGGCCTGGGAGGGGACTCGGTGTCGGGTCCCAGGGCGGGATTCGGGGTGCGCAGATGGCGGGGCGCCTGGCAGGCTCCAACTCGGATGTCCGATGGGCTGAAACGAAGGGGTCTCGGCTGCTTGAGCTCTCGGAACGGGGGTGGGGGAGACTCGAACCTGTGGGAGCGAACATTCTTGAGTGGCTGGATTTGGGGAGGAGGGGTTCTGGGCACTCTGGCTGCTTGGGTGGGATTTGGGGAGGGTCTCAGGTGCAGAAAGGGGAAGCTCGGATTGGGGGCGATCGCGCACGTCGCCGTCCCTGCCGCCTTTCCCACGGGACGTGGGAGACGCTGGTTGGGACAGGGACAGTGGGGTGCGCGCTCGGGACACCCCCCGTCCACCCGCGCTCCCCCTCCCACTTCTCGGCTGCGTGGGGGTGGAGGCAGCTGCTGTGTGTGCCGCTGAGCGAACCCCAACATGTCATTAACCGGGGCGTCAGACCTGCCGAACCAGAGCAGGGACACCCGCCGCCCGCCCCCCTACACACTCCGCGCCCCCTGGCGGAGGCGTGCCGGGGCTCCCAGTGGCCCGGGCCGGTGGGAAAATCTGGGGTTTGCCCGAGGTCGTGCCAGAACGCGGGGTCACCGCCAAGGGGCCTGAGGGCCCCGCGCGAGAGCGCACACGGGTGTCCCGCAGAGAGGAGGGTGGAAACTGAGGCTGGGGTCGGGCAGCTGGGGTGTCGCACCGGGCGGCGGAGTGGGCTGGTCGCTCCGGGTGGGTTTTTAGCCTTCCGGCTCCAGCCAGCTTTTCTGACCAACCCGGCCGGGCTCCCGGGGCTCGTCACCCTGACCCTGAGGTGAGAAATGTCACCTCCTCCCACCCCCCATCGTGCCTGACCTGAGGTATTGTGGGAGATAAGAGAGGATCCGGGCTAATTCTGGAGGTGTCCGTCTGTCCTTGAGGCTGGGGAAGGGCGGAACCGGCTGCTCCCCCTGCGCGGGTCGTGGGGGGGCAATGGAGGAGGTGGGGGAGAGGGGGCGTTTCCTCAGTCCTGGGCT